ATGACGACTGATATGAGTCTGAAGAGTATCCTACATTCTGCTGAGTTTCGATTACAAAAATAGAATGGCTGAGTTTCAATGGGGACAACAGTAATTACGAGAGCTGTAGCTGGGTTTCAATTATACAGGGGTTTAAATGAGGCACCAGTTGGAACTCAGCTACAGCCTTCGGAATTAGAAACCTTGGCTACCCTGCTGTCATAATTAAAACTCACCTGCCCTGTTGTCATAATTAAAACTCAGCGATTCTGTTGTCGTAAGTACTTGGCTTCTTTTCAGTGTCGAGCAGCTCAGCTATTCTATTTTCGTAATTCAAACTCAGCTTCTACACATTTGACCATCCACACATATAAGATTCTAACACCAGCTGGCTCCGAAATGCATTTCAACAATTTCCATGCTTCCACCTACACACCTTTCTTTCTAACCGTGCTACAATGCTGAAAACGATGACCACTGCTGAATTGTTACTCTATGGTGCGCTTCTCCTCATGCGAAACGGTGTCAGTGCTTTAGTACTTACTTGAATCACATTTTTTTTTAGCCAGGGCTCACTGCTCTGGTAATTGATACCGTCTGGAGAGTCGGTGAGTCCTTTATCTTGATGTCTTGACTACTATACAAAACTAATACCAGCCTTAGTGGTCTGCGATCATGGCATGGGTTGTTTCATCCGGTGTGGACTGGTCACCATTCGTATACCTCATTGCTACATCCCCTCTTGCTCTTCGATCGATATTCGTCCAAGGAAGAGAGGAGACCACTGTATATCTATCCAGCCTGGGTGGATTCCTCTTGACCTCGACATCCTTCATGGCGAATATCCTCATTACAAATTGCATCGCGGTAAGCAGATACCATTATACTTGCCTGTCAGAAGGAGTTGACGCAGAGCATGGCCTAGATTTGGTGGTGCTGGTTCCTCAGTGGTTGTAGATGGATGTTTTCCGTCATTCCAGGATTATGCACTCTCATCGGAATGAGTTTGTCCCTTTCATTGCCGTCAATAAACGGGAACTGAATGTCCAGTCCAGTTTTTTCAGGGTTTAGTCTCTATAAGATGATCACTACAGTCGGCCTCAGGAAACTCATGTATGACCCAGATCGATTGGATGCTCCCCTACTTCTCTATGTCGCTTGCTGTAACAATTTTGTGCATGGTAGTCATCTTATCTCGCACTGTAATGGGTCCAAGAATTGGGTGGAGAACCCGCCGGCTCTGGATCAAGGTCGTCGTCAAATCGTCATTATTGTTCGCTGTGGGGCCCATTCTTTTCTTGGTTATTTACACTATGAGTGACACACGTACGGGTTGTCCGCTGCCCGTTGTGACCATGATTATGGTGTGATTCAGCTCAGTGTGCTGTTCTCCCGGATGCTAATAAGTCATCATCAGAGTCTGGTGCCTGTCCGGGCTGTCGCTCGAGTACCGGGTGATGCGACAATGCAGGAATCTGCATCCTTGGAACTCAGTATTAGATTGGAAACCGAGGGCAATGTGTGATAAGTATCTGATGAAAATGGAGAAGAGTCCATTTGACTTCAGGAAGCTGCAATCTGAAAATCTTTGTTTCTTTTGGATAGTATACCTCACCTTACGTTTATCTCCCTTTTGCGTTACCTTTCTTCATTCAGGCCAACCAATACTTCAATGGCATCGAACTTCCTCTTTTCAGAACTTGAGAAGGAATACTACTTACTTACTACCTACCTCCCCTTAAAATTCTCTCGACATCTCTGTCCTGTCCATGTCAAGAACTCGCTGTCAGAATCACTGGCTACCTTGTCACATATCTGAATAGACCAAGTGGCTGAGAGCTCCCAACGACAATTCAGTCGATGTGTGTTGAATGACCCCACACAGAGCCCTCCACTAAGCGCCGTACATGATTTCATGGAACGGAGAGTCAATAACACTGGTCCCGCATCCACCGCGGTCCTAGCAGATATCGCGAATCAAAAAACATGTCTAAACGTGATGAAGAAGAAAATCTGTACCCTGACATCTGAGTCACAAGCCTGATCACTAAGAAGGGTCGTCTAGCCAGGAAGATACCTGGAAGCAAGGAGTCGACAAACCTGTGATGAGTCTCCGCAATGAGAAAGAATAAGTTACATGGGTCTGCATTGCGGTTTGAAGCTGCGAAGGGTTGCAGGAATGGATACGATGACCGATGAGCCCTTGAAGTTCACTTGAGCAGCCTATTTCAGGTGCAAAGACAGAAAGCGAAAAGGTACTATGCCTTCTACTGCAGCATCCATGGGTCTTCCACAGCATGGAGGAAAAACTCAACATATGTCCTTCTATGTGATTATCTAGGATTGAACCAGGAGGATAAACCTTCCTGCCCATTGGATCATGATGCTACGACAATTTTATGTTAGCCGAAAACCAAAGAAGTTCCTCGTCTATCAAACTTCGTGCCCAAGAGAACAGGCAGGGGAAAGACGTACCATGCCACCTTGAAAGAGTCATTATTAGGAGCTGGTGAATGCCCTTTCAACCTCAGATGCGGACCAGTTGGGTGTAGCCCCAGTCTTGTACCATATACATGCATACAGAGGAAACTATATAACGAGGACCTTCATGTGTGGAGAAAGGTGACTGTGATATGATAGACCCGAATTGAACTATTAAATATGCGAGACATCAAAGCGAATGCCCATACCTCCGCTACCATTTCCAACAGTACTGAAAATCAGTGCACATATCTCTTGAAGGGATCCTCAATCTTGTGTTTTGCTCGGCGGTTATGATTTATCGGGCCCACTGGGCCCACTTCAAGAGCTGAAGTGAGTGACATCCTGGCATCAAAAGAGAAGCCTACACCTTCAAGCTTCAGTTTAGCTTCATCAGCCCAATCAGGACTCGGTGAGCACCCTGGATTCTCCGGCAAACTGGCCGGTACCAAGGGGGGAAATGATAGTCGAAGAGGGGAGATGATAGTCGAAGAACGAGGATTCGGGGGGGGGGGGGATACTTGCTAGGCCATGAAAGACGAGGGTATCAGGTCGTTACAACAGTGTTTACTGCGAAATCCATAAGAAAAAGACATCGTTCGAATATACATGACCTTAGCTGAGATCGAACCAGAAATAGCAGAGCCTACCCGAGGCTCCGAAGCCATTACACTATAATGCTACAATAATGCTCTGATAGTCCAGCATCGACATATCGGCCAATCCATCTCCATGGAAAACACTCGAAGAAATGGTGGCAGGATGATCAAAGCCAGAGCTCCTTGGATCGAAAGTAGAGCCATGTGGTTCAAAGGGGACGGACGAATGGACTTTGCCAGATACCCGGCACCAGCAGATCACAGCACTTTGCATCTCATACCCATGCAGTGCACAGTCAGAGGAAGACCTGTAGAGAAGGACTTTAGCTTTAGGGCTGAAAGGAAAACAGAAACAGTAATGCACCAAACAGGTTGAGATGAGCCAGCTAACATCCTGCGCCTAGAGAACGACCTCATGCAATAGACCTAGATTCAACGTAGACGGTATCTGGTCAATTGATGCGACAGGGCATGCAGTCTCTGGTGGTTCAATATTCAACACCTAGAAACATGAAGTCAACAAGCCTGTTGAAATGATGTAAATGATGCGCATACCTCACCACCAACACTAGCTACAATTCTGGCGCAGCACTGAAATGCAAGTCTCTTCAAGGAAATCTTTCAAATCCGTCAATGGCTACTGTAATGAGCACCTGAAATAAGGGCTGTCGACCTGGACAACTAATGTCAGAGACACCCCAATGTCAAAAGAACAATATGCGCATCTATACTGTCTATCCGCCCCAAGTCCGAAAGCTTTAGCATTCAAGTTCCTCCATAATTATTCTGGTAGAGTGCCTCGTATTCTGAGCCTTTCAGGTCACGCCCGTCATCAAATCCATCGCAGGACAAGCTCCAACATGGTGTTAACTGGCTGCCAGCATGTGTGGAAGAGATTGGTATTGTGGTCGTGTTCAAGAAAGGCGCACATGGTGATTGAGAAACCTTCCTACAGGTGAACAACCATGTGATCTAAACACGTGTCTGATTTTGCTCTTTCGGACGTCATCTTCATTCGTATTGTGCCTGTATCAGTGAAATCTACCTAGTAGCTGATAACCATGGGGATTTACTGTCAGTGGAGTACATGAACGAGGTGACCCAAAAGGTACGTGGAAATCTGGTCAATCTACTGGCCTGGCCAAAAGGTTAGATATGTGGATAATGGCTAGTGATGCTGAATCTAAAGAGTAGATAATCATCGCCGAAGCGAAGTGACATAGGTCCTATGTATAGCAAAAAGTCCTCCCAGGTTTCCAGTTTTTTTCTATTGATATTCCACACCCGCGACTCGGGCAGAGCAAGTTCCAAGACAAATGATATGATTCAAAACAAATACACTACGCTCCTACTGTTACTGCCCAAAAAGATTACTACCATGAATTCCAACCACAGAGCAGACCCTCAGATCGAACGAGGAGGCACTTCATAAAGCACCTTTGCTTGGGCTGGCCACGGGGACTCGAACCAGTGATACACCCTGTAACCGCCCAAGCCAGAAGTCCTCTGGCATTAAGATGCCACTACAGGCAGCATCTTCCTAAAGGGACAGATTCATACATCTGGTACTCGAGCTGCCTACAAATAAGCTCTTCAGAGTGACGTATCGAGGGCCCCAGAATATCACTGAAGTATGTTTAGCCTCGAAGGGAAAATGAAAGGAAAAGAGGAAGAGACACTCGTCCAGTATTTTAGCCACTGTGTTGAGTCGAAGTGAACATGCTCACATCTTCCCCTCTACCCCAGGTGCCCGTGCGATGTCCTTACCTCCATCGAAAGGTGGGAAGATCAGTCAACAGTGTGTGCATCAAAGCCAAATTGACGACACTTTTGATGGCCCGTGGCTCTTGATATTGACATATGATGAGAACTGAAGTCACTGCAGAACTTAAATAGAAGTCTGATTTGTTAACGGATCAACAAAGTGTTCAACAAGCTCAATTCCCTCTAGCCAACTTGACCAACTGACCTCGTCATGAGAATAGCGAATGGAATGATAGTAGTGACATGCTGTACTGACCGAGCTAAGAGGGAACACTACAATGGTCATGAGTGAAGCATACCTACGCGATGAGAGAAGGGAAGCCTTGCCTTGCCTTGATCAATCCATGCGAGTCGAACTGGGCTCTTCTCAAATACAGTTCACTGATGCTGTGAAGGCGCGGAGGGATGCAATACATTCGAAGGAGTCGACAACTGCTGTGAAAAAACCAGTATCATGGGGGAAGGGAGGGCTGGGAGAGGTATAAGTAAAAGACGGCTCACTATTAGCATTGAAGATGGCCCCTCATACTTACACCAAAAATGAATCCTTCTACCTTGAATGTTTCCTAGCCGATTTGAATGGCTACTACTTTGTCAGTGACGCGTGACGACTGAGCTAAGAGGGTCCTTCTGGAATCAAAGCAGCGCTGCATTGAAAGCAGAAACTTATACGAGCAGCTGAGAATAAGAAAAAAATAAGCCCGCAGTGAGCAGTTCGTACATAGCATAGCAGTCACAGGAGTCGAATGATGTCAGTGGCAGCGATACTGTTTGAGCAAATTCTTCGATGGTATCAGGCCTCAGGGATGTGTGCATCATGAGGGCAGTGTGCAAAGCAAGGAAAAGTGGCTGACTGAATGACGAATGACGAGCGGGAGGATGTCAGGAGACAATATTGAAAACGGATGACTGGAAGCAAATCAGTTGAAACTGATTTCACTCTCGGAGTCTTCCACGTGACCTTCCTCGTCATTCACACATTTTTTCCCTTCCCTTCCCCAACCCTTTCCTTCTACGATGTTCTCCACCCACTTTTCTCTCGCTGCCCCTCCCTCTGACACTCAGTACATGTACTCAGCATCAACCAGCTCGACAGAGACCGTCACTTTCACAGGGCCCCATCACCATTTCCTAAAAGACTGACCTTAGATCCCTGCCAAGTTCAGTTTCGCTCACTTTCCTCAATCGTTTCACTCACTAATGAATGACCCTTGCAGAGATGGATACGCCAATTAACTCATGAATATCGACAATATCTATACTCAGACGGGTACGTTCTCTGTCTCGGAGCCTGCTTGGACATCGTTGACGGGGTCTGCGAGTGAGAGCGGTAGCGAGAGCGCTGCGTCTGCATGAGTCTGCTTCCTATCAATCCTTCCAAGTTCGCTAAGCATGCTTCTAGGTCCATATCGTCTCCTTGTCCAGGTACTCAACCATGCGCCGGTCCACCTTGCCAACCTCCTTAGCTGCATCTACTGCTGCCCCCTCTGTCCTCAACAGCAGTGTCGCCCATGCAGGTCCGAGGCGCCTGGCCTGCTCACCGTTGTCTGGGCATGGGTCATCGCTATTTAAAAAGACCTTCTTTTGACTTTTGGACCAGACTTTTTGGTGGTGCATTCTACCTATCTACGGACGGTTATGCACACTCATATTATACTCCCCTCCAACTGATTCCTCTGAATCTGATGGTCCGTCTCCGTACCGTCATTCTGTACCTACAGCTCCAAACAGTACCACCATATCTTGATTCTGCGACGTGCGTGTATAGCTTATGTTTGAACCCAAGTGTATTGCTGATGTTGGCTATCCAGGTTGAAACATGTCTTTCACCATTGCAGCAGACCAAATTTAAAATGACGGAGCACCTAATTCGCGACGATGGTGGCTGCAGACGAAGGACTAGTAGTGGAGGTGCAGGCATTATTGATTTACTGCTGACAGTCACACTCATTTTACTGTTGGTGTCTGCAGTCTATACCATGACCTTTCACCTGTAACCTCCCACCAGTGATCAATTGTATAACCAGCAGGATATGTGTGCCCATGCCAGCTTAGCCAATATTCATCTGGTATCTCTCCAGCGTCGTTCTCCATGACTCGTCTCGGCCTTCGATTCCCTGTTTATCCTCACTCAATGTGCCCTCTTCCAGTATACCCTGCAGCTACACTCGTATGGAGATCTATTCCAGTCATGCACATATGTGCCTAGAAAATATGGGCTGAAGGCAAAACTTCTTGAGCGACTTCCTCTTGCCGTTCTGACCCCCTCCTGTGCATCTATACATCCTGTTCGTGTGCGTGCATCTTTCTCCCTGTCCTTGAACGTGCTCTCTGCCTCTGCCTCTTTGCCAGGCTACTTCAAATACGATACGGATGAGGTATGGCACGAGAACTCCACAGTGGAACATCCGGAACTGGCATCTAGATGAAGGGCCCGTGGCGCCTTGAGCTTGCAGCACCACTCAAATAGTGCCATCTGCTCCGGCCACTGCTCCGAGGCAAAGGTGAAGGCGCTTTTGGTCTTTCTCTGTACTATCCCGGTTTATGTTAGTCATGTCGGACCTGTTAGCTTTGTTTCATTCGACAACATTGGCGAGGAGTTGTTTGGTCAGGGGAAGGAGAGGGAGGGACATTCGTTTATGTGAGGCCCTTATTATCGATCAGGAAGTAGGTGCATTGGGTAGACCGTTAACTGGGAATGTTGTTCGCTGCGTTCAATCATTAAACTCCTTTTGCAAATGCTATCATGGATGGATCATAAATTGGCAAGGATGGCTCGAAGCTAGGTTCGACGAAAGACGACTCTTATGCCAAAATATGTGCTTTGTCATGAAGCGAAGTTGTACTACTACAGTGACTGCTGTCAAGGTAACCAGAATTATTGAATCTGAGGAGCAATAACTCAAAGAAAAAGCATATGTCTGAGTGGTATGCTACTTTCGATAGATAGATTTGCACTTGCGGCGCTGACAACACAGCAAAGAAGGGCTGAAATAATGGATGAAGAAATGGGTCTGTATCGAAGAATGAGTCATATCAGATGGACGAAAGTAAACTTTACAGTTCAGGATTTCAATTGACCGGAAAGCACTCAATCCTCGAGATTTATATTCGACCCAAGTTCCCACCATTGACGAAACCACACCCTTACATATCAAACAGTAACTGGTGTCGTAGGGGCTTTTGGAAGGACTGAGTCCCAACCTAATGCCACAGTCACTCCTCTCGCTCTTTGATAATCCCTGCTTGTACTCTTTCGACTCATTATCCACACACACAAGGGAACTGAACATTTATACCATGGAATTTCAGAGCCGAAAGGGTGGACGAACTCAGCAGCACTGTAGTGGGGAACTCGCCGTGGTTGGTGCCGTCGATGGCCTGTGGGCGGTGCGTACTCAAAGCCAGGAGGAAAATGCTGAGGTTCTGGCAGCGACCATTCGACTGTTGGTTAGCACAAAGAGCCCCTCAGCCACAGGTATATAGACAATTTGTTTGATATGATGGGGATTTGATAAAGATAAAGAAAGAAAGAAGGATTATGCAGGAAGCAATGTGATGACTGGGATTGTGGGAAGGGAACATTTTTGTTGCCCATTTGCCCTTAATCAGTATGCTCGTGATGTTCAACAGGGACAGGCTTAAATCTGGCGACCTGGCCCATCAATGCTGACTGAAACCCCCACTTCGTTCGCAGGTGCTTATGACTTGAACCGCCTCTGAGCTCCACTGAAAACAACTGCACATGGATTTCTTGGAATTGTACGACTAGCCCAAGAATGCCGGGATCCAGTTTCATGCTTACCTTGGACCTTTGTAAATGACCCGGGCCTGCTTACTACACGATTCAAAATATTATTGCACATCTATAGAATCAGAAAGGCAAGTCTCGCAATACAGAAAATTGAACAACAAGCAGCAAAATAAACGTGGAGAGTAGTAACTATTAGTTGTAGGTGGTAGTCTAAAGACAGCTGGAGAAAACAACTGTAAGCCTGAGGGTATCTAGATATTGATGAGAAAAATAATGTTTTTAATAGCGTAGGTTACAGTATCAGCGTCACAATGTTGTCTGGTACCTGAGCAATAGCCAGAATAGGTGCCAAACTCTGACAACTTTCATATGAGCGCCTGAGAAAAGAACACATCGAGGTTCAGCTCACAGTAATCATCGTCACACCAAGCAGTGGACAGGATGTATGAATGTCACTCATGATGTAGTAGGTAACCGGTGCCAGAGTGAACAATAATGAGGACTCGACGATGATCTTGATCCAGAGTCGGAGGGTTCCTCCCCAAATGATGGAAGGACCCAGTTACGATGTGGTATAAGGTTGCCAGCGTGCACGACAGTATCACAGCAAGCACCATAGAGATGTATGGGAGCATCCAGTCTATTTGTGCAGCACACTGCGTCACCTGAGACGTGTGTGGTGACCATCTGATAGAGACCGACACCTGCAAAAACTAGGTTCGATATCAGTTCTGAATTTTTGATGATAGCGGTAGGAGATGAACTCGTTCCAACAAGAACGCATAGTCCTGGAATAACTGGCAAACATTAATCTCTGACCAGAGAAGAACCAGCACCACCAGATCTACACAAAAGTCTGCAGTCAAATACTTCCAACAGGTAAGTATAACAATACAATCTGCTCACCACAATGCACCCCATGATGAACAATAACTGCCACTGAAGGACACTGAGCTCAAGAGGATCCATCCACGAGAATAGATGTATGTGGTTTCTTGTGTCCCGTTGTCGTGGTGATACTTTGGATGAGTAGTCTATCAAAGAGCGAGAGGTGATGTTGCGATGAGGTACATCGTGATGACCAGTCCGCAGCAGATAACACGACTCCTGCCTCTATCGCAGGCTCACTAAGGCCTGATATTATAGATATTGAGATGATATGCAAGTTGGTGGGATCAAGAACAGAGACACACCGACTCTCCAGAATGTACCAACCGCCAAGGCAACGTGTGTTGCTGAGATGGTCTGAGTAAGCGCTGGCACTGTTTGGCTGATTTTGATAAAGAAAGGCACCATAGAGTAGCAATTCAACAAAGTTCGCTTTCAACATTGTAGTACATTTTGGAGGCGAGAAAGCTGCTGGAAAGAAGGGTGAGTTGGTGGACTAGGGAAGCCGTCTGCATATTTATATACATTCACAGTGTCCACCTTTATGGTCATCCTCAGGGTCGATACTTTTATATGTCATTGACAATCTTAGATTGTCTGAATTGTCTGAATTGAGTTCGAGTTCCTT